CTTTCATAATTATTATACAGGGTGCTTTTAACATAATTTCCATATTCTTCCATGTATATAATCTCACGATTGCTTAATAAATCTGATAGGCCTATGTGGCTGTGCTTTTTGCCTCTGGTCTGCAATTACGATGACATGCTTTTAAAAAGGTTTATTTTTTAAAAGGTGACTGCACTTTGTGAGTTCTCATATATTATCATATAGTGTTGATTTATTAGTAATAAATATGTGTATATAACATAGGTATATAAATTAATATAACGCAGCGAATGCGCGCCAAGAAGTATAAATGCGGCCGAAATACGATATTAAAATCTTGAATGTGCCGTATGATTTAATTATGTTTTAGGATTTAAAGCCTTTAAAAATGCTTTGTCATTTGTGTTTGTACTTGTACTGCATCACAACGCAGAGAGTAAGTGAACAGATTCCACATGTGAGGTTGTGTTGTATATATTTTTGCCTTCTTTTGATAAACAGCGAGACGCACACTCGCACATGTTAAATGTCACCTGCATGTCATTGTCATTGCCCTTTTATTTTTTTATTATTATTATTTAATCATATTTAGAAACGGTAGCTCTTCAGGGCACTTGCGCACCTGTTTTTCAAGAGGCCGTTTGGTTAAAAATATTACATAATATAAATATACAATACAATACAGATAAGTAGAACTACAGGCATGCATATATAACAATATAAAACGATTAACCCTCCCCCCCCCTCGCCCTTACAAACGAATGCACTAATTAAATTTAGATTAAGTGCATACACTTTAACGCGAGGAATAATGATCAAGAATGGACTTGAATCGACGAATTTTTAACCCCTGGTCTAAATCATAAATCATGAAGCGGGGCCGTTTTGACCTAGCACCGTATTTGTAGGCAAATTGTCTACAATTTTATATACTAGATATCACAGCCATACCTGCCATTTTGATCTTTTCCGCCCGTTAGAGAAGTTGATAAGTACACTCATTCTTGTTAGCCATCGTACCTGTTCGGCTGTTCCTCTTTCGATACGAAACTTCGAGCGCCGAGTTATCATATGGCACATTCAAGTGTATAAATTATGGATGATTCCAACGGACCATTCCCCGATTAACCAAAATTTTGAACTCAACAAATCTAGACTTTGCAATTTTCAGTCATTTTAGATTACAAACGGGAGATGGTTACCACTTCTGTGCGTAATACAAATTACAAAATGACTGAAAATTACAAACTTCGCAAGGCTATATTATCTGCATTTTACAACATTTTGCAACGAAACTTTGGAATATTACTAATTTTGTGATGCTCTTTCAAGTTGCGATGAAATTTTTGTTTAGGCTAGTTAAGATCAAAATTTTGGAAAAGTGGTAACCATTTCCCGTTTGTAATCTAAAATGACTGAAAATTGCAAATTTCGCAAGGCTATATTATCCGCATTTTACAACATTTCGCAACGAAACTTTGGAATATTACTAATTTTGCGATGCTCTTTCATGCTATGATAGAATTTTGTCTAGACTTGTTGAGATCAAAATTTTGGTTAATTGGGGAATGGTGATTACAAATATTTCTTGCTCTTATTCTTTAAAATATTAAAGATTTGGGAACAATGCTATACCAAGGCAGCATTCACTACCCTGTGGGTAAACTAGTTCTCTATATTTTCAATAATAAAGGGTTATAAATATATTGTATTTCTCGTTCTTAATAAACCCCGCACAAAATATTACTCATATATTTTATTTCTCGTTCTCAATAAAACCCGCACAAAATATTACTCATATATTGTATTTCTCGTTCTCAATAAACCCCGCACAAAATATTACTCCTATATTGTGTTTCTCATTCTCAATAAACCCCGCACAAAATATTACTCGTATATTGTAGTTCTCGTTCTCAATAAACCCCGCACAAAATATTACTCATATATTGTATTTCTCGTTCTCAATAAACCCCGCACAAAACATTACTCATATATTGTATTCCTCACGTTCTCAACTAAACCGCGCACAAAATATTACTCATATATAGTATTTCTCGTTCTCAATAAACCCCGCACAAAATGTTACTCATATGTTGTATTTCTCGTTCTCAATAAACCCCGCACAAAATATTACTCATATATTGTATTTCTCGTTCTCAATAAACCCCGCACAAAATATTACTCATATATTGTATTCCTCCCGTTCTCAACTAAATCCCGCACAAAATATTACTCATATATTGTAATTCTCGTTCTCAATAAACCCCGCACAAAATATTACTCATATATCGTATTTCCCGTTCTCCATAAACCCCGCACAAAATATTACTCATATATTGTAGTTCTCGTTCTCAATAAACCCCGCACAAAATATTACTCATTAGTATAAATCTCCTTTTAAACTACTCGAATAATTACGTCATTTTAATGACTGCGTATCCCCGTATCATTGAAAAATAATAGTTACCCATTCTCCTGTTAAACTACTCAAATAATTACGGCACAAAATATTACTCATATATTGTATTCCTCCCGTTCTCAACTAAATCCCGCACAAAATATTACTCATATATTGTAATTCTCGTTCTCAATAAACCCCGCACAAAATATTACTCATATATCGTATTTCCCGTTCTCCATAAACCCCGCACAAAATATTACTCATATATTGTAGTTCTCGTTCTCAATAAACCCCGCACAAAATATTACTCATTAGTATAAATCTCCTTTTAAACTACTCGAATAATTACGTCATTTTAATGACTGCGTATCCCCGTATCATTGAAAAATAATAGTTACCCATTCTCCTGTTAAACTACTCAAATAATTACGTCATTTTAATGACTGCGTATCCCCGTATCCCCGCATCATTGAAAAATAATAGTTACCCATTCTCCTCTTAAACTACTCCAATAATTACGTCATTTTAATGACTGCGTATCCCAGTATCCCCGTATCATTGAAAAATAATAGTTACCCATTCTCCTCTTAAACTACTCCAATAATTACGTCATTTTAATGACTGCGTATCCCCGTATCCCCGTATCATTGAAAAATAATAGTTACCCATTCTCCTCTTAAACTACTCGAATAATTACGTCTTTTTAATGACTGCGTATCCCCGTATCCCCGTATCATTGAAAAATAATAGTTACCCATTCTCCTCTTGAACTACTCGAATAATTACGTCATTTTAATGACTGCGTATCCCCGTATCCTCGTATCATTGAAAAATAATAGTTACCCATTCTCCTCTTAAACTACTCCAATAATTACGTCATTTTAATGACTGCGTATCCCCGTATCCCCGTATCATTGAAAAATAATAGTTACCCATTCTCCTCTTAAACTACTCCAATAATTACGTCATTTTAATGACTGCGTATCCCCGTATCCTCGTATCATTGAAAAATAATAGTTACCCATTCTCCTCTTAAACTAATCCAATAATTACGTCATTTTAATGACTGCGTATCCCCGTATCCCCGTATCATTGAAAAATAATAGTTACCCATTCTCCTCTTAAACTACTCCAATAATTACGTCATTTTAATGACTGCGTATCCCCGTATCCTCGTATCATTGAAAAATAATAGTTACCCATTCTCCTCTTAAACTACTCCAATAATTACGTCATTTTAATGACTGCGTATCCCCGTATCATTGAAAAATAATAGTTACCCATTCTCCTCTTAAACTACTCGAATAATTACGTCATTTTAATGACTGCGTATCCCCGTATCCCCCAAAAGCAAACACTATCAAAATTCAAAAGTGGCCGGGTATTCTATAATCGCTCC